ATATGAAAAAAAAAAAATATATATATATATATATATATATATATATATATAAATGAATAATATATGCACTTATAGTATACTCTATACACATGAAGGATATGTAATAATATTAAAGAAATAAAGAACAGAAAGACCTTTAATTATAAATAATTAATAGAAATCCATTCTTGCCCAATATGTACATCTTTTGCTTTAAAACATGTTTTGTTATTAATGTGAAAATATAACTTATTTATACTACAGCATTGGAATTAAAGAGAAATGTTAAATATAATTTGTTTTAAAAAACATATTTTGTTCGTATACTTTTTCACTTTGCAAATGGCAAATGTTTAAGGTAAATGTCCCAATAGCCGGACATTTAACGGCGTAATGCTACAATTTTTTAATTTGATAAAAGTATATAATATTTAATAATGTAAAAATATAATTAATTAAAAGCTGAGACTTTAAGAAGTATTATTAAGATATAAAAGACAGTAAAATTATCAAAATTATTTAAAAAATAATCAAAATTTGCAAGAGTAAGAATGTACCAATACCCGGACAATGTCCCTATTGCTAAATTCAGTTGACCCAATATCCGAACATGATAATTAAAATAAAATTACAAATAAAATCGTCATATTTTGATTGATTTTTTTAATTTCTACCGTTTTTCATGTCCTCCAAAGCAGAATTCACGTCCTTTTATGTATATGACTTTTTTCTTAAGTTTTTTGGCACATTTTATGATCCTATAAAAAAGCTATAATTTATACGGCATTAATACAGGTGACACTACAAAGTGTTCTCATGGATTCCGTTCGGAAGTTATATTTTAGAGGCTATATAGGTATAGAAGTTGTATGGTTAAAATATACACTTTCAAATTACATTGTTTGATGTGTCAATATTTACTTATTCTTTAAACTTTTATTGACAATAATTTTAAGTAACTTTACTTATAAAAATATTTATGACAGCAGTTATTTCTCGATTTGCTTGTTGGTACACGCGAGCACATGTGTAACGCAAGTTGCATCGGTAAC